ATCTATATTCTAGATTACAGTTAGATGCAGCGTGGCCGAAACGCTGACAGCGTTTGCATTGCAGTATTCCTTTTTTCCTAAGTTTCTCCCACGAAACTGAGTGTTTTAATAAATACCTAAAGTTCCTCAATGAGCTGGTATCACTGTCCGCTGAAAATTGCACCAAATAAAAGGGCAAAACTCTCTTGTCTCGAACTGATTTTGCCGTAGCAAATCGACTGACCTTGTCAATTTTTAGGTTAGGGATATTTTTCGAACCTAATTCCTCCTTTACGTCATCTTCACTGATGGTAGATGGGAGACCCTTTAATAGAAAGTTTATGTGTTTCTCCTCCTTTGGAGTGAACGAAAAGTACTTAGTGTTAGCACTGTTCAACGAGTCTTTAACACGCTTAAAATCACCACTGTTTTTTACTTGAATAATGTGTTTGAAATTGTTTATTCGTTTAATGTGAAAATCAGCACCCTTTGCTGTTTCATTCAATAAGACCATTGAGTCTTTGGAATCTTGATGGTGCACAACGATAGGGGGTGGACGCCGGCTACCATTGGAACTATTGTTTTTTGATGGTGCACTCATTCCAGTCACGCTGGTGGGACCAGGGATTTTCTTCTGCACCGCTTTTTCACTTCCCCCGTTGGAAACAACGGTTTTCATTGGTTGGGCGACACTGACTTCCCTATTTCCATTAGGGCGAGCGCGGGCCTTGCAGGCGTCGCTTCCGTCGTCTGTATTGTCTCGTTTTCTTTTATAACTAGCGTTTTTCTTTTTTAGTTTTTCAACTATATTCCATTCGTCCCCTGCAGTGAGGTCAATCTCCATGTTTACTTCGTCCGAATCGCCACTAGACTGCGCTGGCGGCAAATTATTTTTTGAGTCAAGGAGAGCCTTTAATGTCTCCACTTCTTTTCTAAGCTTCTCGTTTTCAAGGAGGAGCTTCTCTCTCGCACAGCTTGATGACTCACCATCACTGTGTCTCTTTTTGGGCGCCATCTTGACTGGACTATGCGGCATGTTTGGCTTTGCTATCACTAAGCTTTTCTTCCTTTTGATGCTTAGCCTTTTAACCAAAGCAGCTGCAGCTTCGTTAATTTTTCTTTCTTTGTATAACCGACCTTCGACGAACTTTTGCAGCTCATGCCGATTCTTGGACCAAGGTTCCTCCGTGCCGACTACACGCGGCGAAGTTATACCTTCATTCTTCTTATCAGGAGTTACCCCGACTTGATTTGTCACTTCTACATCCACTTTCCTTATTTTTGGAATGAGGGAATAAAAAGAAAGTTAACTAGAAAAACAAAAAAGACACTAATGATGAAGTGCTAACAATGAACGCTTTCTTGCATATCACAGTAGCACTAATATAGGGAGCCACACGTCCGCACGCTTTGACGACCGCAGGCTGACTGCACGGTATGGCCGTTAACGACAGAATTTATTATGCTAAATGCTCTTGTCATGTACATCTTAATTTCAAGTATAATAAAAAAAGAAAAAAGCAAAAGAAAACAAAAAATGCTAAAACAGGCCTAATTCGTTGACTCCACAACTAGCAGCTTCTACGA